TTCTTTTATATCCTCGTTTGTAATCAACTCTTCTTTGATCAAATCTAAAGTGAAACTTTTTCCTTTCATGTGAACTTTGAATATTTCCAAGTTATTTGTATCTTTAATCACACAAAGTTTGTGTTCAAAAGACACCTTATAATTTTTCTCCAATAATTGAGTAACACTTAACAAATTATGATTAATATCAGGAACATATAAAAATCAAAAATTAATTTAATATCTGAATAACTTTTAACTGCAATTGTTTCCGTACCTTTCACATCCATTTATTCCTCATTACTGATTCTCACTTTAGAAATATGTGATTCGTTGAGCTCTTTAAAAATTTCGAGATCATGAGTCATGTAATTTGTACAACTATTGTCTATATGTCAACATGTGGATTTGTTGATTGTAGAACATGTTGATGCCAGGAGAAGTTCTCCTTCTACTCCATCCTCTATAACCTTGACGGCTTCTTTTAGTTGTGATTTGCAGATCTTTTCTTTGTTGTTCTTGCTTTGGAGAAAACCTTCTCCATGATATAGTAAAGAATCTTCACCAGCAACATGATCTCTTATCATCAATCTTCGTTGCTCTTGCGCTTGAAAAGCATGTAACACTTTTTCCAAAGTAATATTAGACAAATCCTTTGTGTTTTCCAATGAAGTAATAGATGTTTCATATCTCTCTGACACAATTACCAGAAGTTTCTCAACTATTATAGAATCAGGAAATTTCTTGCCTAACAATTTTATTTTGTTAGCAATACCGAACAATTTGTTTGAGTATTCATTAATTGTCTCTGACTCTTGCAATTTTTGTATCTCAAATTCCCTTATCAAGTTTAGAACTTTCATATCTCGAATTTTTTCGTCCCCTTCATATTGATCTTTCAAATAATCCCAAATTTCTTTTGGTGACTTTAGCGTCATGATTCTGGTGAGGATAATTTGTGAAACACCAGCAAACAAACATGATTTAACTTTTTGCTTCCTCATTTTTCTTTCTCTGTGAAATGTCATTTGAGCTATGGTGGGATTTTCAGGTAGCGGATCAACAATATAATCTTCTTCCACAGCTTCCCATACATTCAATCCTTCAAGATAGGATTGCATTCTCAAAGCCCATAAGTCATAAATTTTGCCATCAAAAATTGGAATAGCGATTTGTGGAAAGTTTCTTCCTCCTTCCATTGTCTCGAATTAAAGTTCTGATACCACTAATAAAAAATTTTAGGATTTTGTGTATGTGTATTTCTAATATATCATGTGGGTATATTTTTTATTCATGTATTCTATGTATATATAGAGTAAAAATATTATAAAATATCAAATATTAATAATATCTCAATCATAACTGCCTAAATCAAAATAATAACCTAATATCTTATTATCTTCTCTCTTAAAAGATAATAAAATCTCTTAATAATTAATTTAAATAAAAGATAATAAAGTAATATTTCCAACAATATGTGATGACAAATCATGATGCGTATTGTCTTCTAAATTAAAAAGGAGAACATTCAACTTTTCAAGAGGTTATGAGTTTTTCAGAAGTTTCTCTATGGGTGACTGCAATGCAGAAAGAAATTAAGGCTCTTCTTAAAAACAAGACATGGAATCTTGTGGAACTTCCGAAAGGTCGAAAAACCATTGGTTGCAAATGGGTATATAAGATCAAGAGAGATGACAATGATCAAGTAGAAAGATATCATGCTAGATTAGTGGTAAAGGGATATGTTCAGAAAAAAGGTATTGATTTCAATGAGATATTCTCGTTGGTTGTCAAATTGACGTCCATCAGAGTTGTCTTGGTTATGTGTGTTGCATTTGATTTACATCTTGAACAATTGGATGTAAAGACTATTTTTCTTTATGGAGATCTTGAAGAGAAAATTTATATGTTTCAACCAGAAGGCTTTAAAGAACAAGAAACTTAGTTTGTAAGTTGACCAAATCTCTATACAGTCTAAAGCAGGCACCCAGATATTGGTATAAGAGATTTAATTTCTTCATTATTTGTCTTGGTTACAATAGACTAAGCTCATACCATTGTACATATTATAATAGGTTTGGTGATAATGATTTTGTTATCTTGTTATATGTGGATGACATGTTGGTAGTAGACCCCAACATAGATCGAATCCAAGAGTTAAAGGCACAATTGGCTAAGGAGTTTGACATGAAGGACTTGGGACTAGCAAACAAGATTTTAGGGATGCAAATTCACAAAGACAAAAAAGATAGGAAGGTTTGACTTTCTTAGAAAAATTACTTACTAAAAATCTTGTTGCGCTTCAACATGCAAGATTGCAAGCTAATTTCCACCTCATTTCCTATCAATTGTAAGTTATCCTCAAGTATGAGTCCCAACAATGAAGCAGAGAGGATGCAAATGTCTCGAGTACCCTATGCATAGCAGTGGGGAGTCTTATGTATGTCATGATTTGTACAAGATCATAAATTGCACAAGCAGTGGGAGCAATTAGTAGATTCATGGAAAATCCTGGTGGAGAGCATTTGAGTGCTATAAAGAGGATCCTTAGATACATCAAAGGAACCTCAGGTGTTGCATTATGTTATGGAGGATCATAATTAGTTATCAAAGACTGTTGATTCAGATTTTGCAGATGATATGGATAAAAAGAGATCTACAACTGGTTATGTGCTTATAGTTGCAGGAGGGACAGTAAGTTGGTTATCCAAGTTATATGATATTGTAGTTCTGTCCCACAGAAGCTAAGTACGTGACAGTCACCCAGACATGTAAGGAAGTTATTTAGATTAGGAAGATAATGGAGGAACTCGGGCACAAACAACAACAAATTGTTGTGTATTGTGACAGTCAGAGTACATTGCACATTGCAAGGAATCCAACTTTTCATTTCGGGACAAAACACATGGGAATAAAATATTATTTTGTTTAGGAAGTAGTGGAAGAAAGAAGTGTGGATATGCAAAAGATTCACACAGATGAGAACCTAGCAGATATTATGACAAAGCTGGTTAGTGTTGACAATTTTGTATGAAATCAATTTTACTATGGCCTAGCGGAAACATAAGCAACATGGATGACAAAAATAAAACAAGCATAGTGTGAAGATTTGATTAATTTAATCAAAATCGTCAAGTGGGAGATTGTGAGAAAAAAAATCTCACATCAAGGAAATCTTAGTTTAATGCTTACTTTTCTTATTATAAAAGGATCATAGTGTTTACCTTGTAAAACACACCAAAATCACTTCATTTTCTTTCTCTTGTTGCTTTAGTACTTGAGAGCTAAATTAAGAGAAAAAAATAATTTCTCCTTTTAGGTTGTCTTAGAATTGTTTTTCTTTTATTTTCAGAAGAGAGTTTTATTGTTTCCTCCTTGGAGGTAAGAGAGAAGGATTGTAATTTCTTTCATTAGTAGAATTACTCTCTTACCTTCGATATTTTTCTCATCTTTTATTTTAGTTGTGTGTGCTTATACTTTTATCTGATATCCAACAGAACAATGATATGGACAACCACTTTCTTTTTATATAATTATCCTAATAATACAATAATTATAATTATAAAAAATTTAAATTCTACTATTATTATTATTATTTTACATTATTAAAATGAGTGATAGATAAATACCGATAAAAATCTATATTTTTCAAACACATTTTAAGGAAACATTTTCGTGTAAAATCTCACCATAAAAATGGTTTTATGACGAATATTTTGAGAACCGGCATGGCATGCTTCATCATTTTGTTTATATATATTTTTTCTTAAAGTTTTTATAGAAAAACTTTATTTTCGTAGTTAATGACATTGAGATACAGGAGCCAACAAAAACATCTTGAGACAATTTTACTTCAAATAACATAACAAGAATGTGAGACGTGCACATGAAAATGAGAATTTGAAGTAGCATACCAAGATTTGAACTTGAGATCATGGATTAAAAGGGAACAGCTCTGCACCACCAGGGATTAAACTGGGAAAGATAGTTATTCTTGCATCAACAACTTCAGAAGAACAAAAGTTCTGATGAAGAGGCGTAACAAGATATCCATGACAACCCAAACGCTTGAATAAACTACCAAGTTCCACACAAGATGTAATCCCATTCCTGATATTCATCAAGACAAACAGAGAGAAGGAAGCTGAAACAAGATTCTAATGGTCGCTCAACCCAGAGAAGAGCAATGATTCAAGAACCAAGAAATCGGAGTTATTCATCTTCAGGAATCAAACTTGGACGCCAACAGTTTTGCATAACATGGTCCTCCATTTTTCTTACACAAACAATTTGAGATGCAACACACCTTTACATACGAACCACCTTCACACTAAGTGCATAACAATCACAGCAGAAAACTGCTATAAGCATTGCCGTCACTTTTTTCGTTCTAGAGACCCAACAAAATCATCATTAACAAAGCAACCATAATACCAACTTACCAAGCCATCACTGTGCATAGGTAAGTTATGCATGAAGTCAGACCAATTTGCTTATGAACCGATTACATGAACTGAATTTTATAATCAATCCACTTTTTTAAAAGAAAAACTGGTTTGCTTTTAATGAAACCTATTTTGAATCAGTTTTAAAATTGATTTTTAGTACAATTTGTTTAGCCAGAAAATAAAACTAACCATGTGTAGAAAAAGTTTTTCTTATCCAAAGGGAGATGAATCAAGCATGCCCTAAGTTATCTACCAATAGTCAAAACTACATAACAAGATGTAAGGAAATTTAAAATAAAATAAACTTGAGACTTGCAGAGTCCCTCTTACAAAGTGGCTAACCAAGTTTTGCAAGTGTTTAAATTTCCATGAAATTCACATTAATAATGATCTTGTTGTTCAAGAATTTCTATTGTATATGTTACAGATGTTTCAGAGAACAATTGGAACATACCATCAATTTGGAAGGACAGAATTCCTTCCCTTTCTCTCTCTCTCTCTCTCTCTATATATGCCTTGTGAACATAGATCTATATGTACTCCTTGAAGCAGTTCTCCTATGTGCGATGCCCTTCAATCCTCACTCCCATTCAAAGTGTGAGAATCAAAACTTACCACCTTCTCCTGTTGCTCAGAGCTCTGAACAACCACAACAACAACATGGCTAATTCTTTGCTGGTATTCCAAGGCATTAACAATGACTCTTGGTGGTGGTTCCATGGCTGGATTTGGAGAAACAAAGGTGATGGTGGAACGGCACAAGGGGCAAGTGGCATGAGATTTGAGCCAAGTATCAATACAAGGGAGATGAAAAGCATGGTTGCATTTTGGCAACAATCTCAAGCTCTCATTCTCTTCAAACTCACTCAAACAAACTGAACAATCATTACCCTCCACCACCCCTCCACCTTTGTTATACTTGCAAACTGTGATGGCCTTGATTAGAGCATCATCCAGACCAGAATTGGAAGAGGAAGAAACCTGAGCAAGTTCACTGCTCCCATCTTCTGCTGGATCATTGGTGTGCATACTGCTGCGCCTGCAGAACCTTGAGATGATGGTGTAGTAAGTGACCAAGATGAAAGTGCTGGCTAATATTCCAATCACAGCAACTATGAGAGGAGAGAACTCAAAGCCTGAAGGATCATCATCCCCATCACCACCAAGGAAGAGTGAAGGAGGGGGAGGAGAGTACACTATGTAACACCACTGGGGACAGTAGATGCTGCAGATTCCTTCAGAACAATCCTTTGGGGTCCATGGATATGGATTTGGATTTGGATTTGGATTTGGATTGGAGTTACTTGCAGAAGCCATTACTGTGACTGTGTGAATGAAGTTAATCATCTATGAATGAATGCACAAATGATACGAGTTGTTCTATGTTGTTCACCCATTTTGGATCTTGCTAGAGAAAGAGTCAGAATCAAGAGATGGGGAATTGAGATTAAAGTAAACAATGGGGCGTACTTGAGAAGTAAATCAAGGGTAGGTGATGAGAAATTGCATCCACGTCTTATCTTTCTTCACCCACTTTTTCATTCTAGTTTCATCTTTTCTTTCATTAACATACATAACAAATTCAAATTCGTTGGTTTTATCCATTGATTTTCGAAACTAATAATGGATGAAAATTAACATTTAAATTCAATTGTTTCTCATGAAAATACCCTCGTAACAAACAAAATAAATAATTTATGATAACTTTTTAGTTGTGCTTTAGTTAGTGAAAAATCACTATGATTGCTTCTAATTAATAAATAATATTATATTTAAATGTTTTAAAATTTATTCCTAAACTTATCACATGCCTACTTATTATTTATCAATTCTGGTCTCTTGTTTTCTGTCGGTGGGGAAGATTGTTATTCTATGCACTCCACTCTGTCATATGAATTTTGTAATAAAATGATAATTATTTTATTCAGAAAGATATTAAGGTTACTCAATGCTTTAACTATTTTATATTAAAATATTCGTAATGAAATAATAATGAAATTTCAATTGTTCTTCACAATTTATTATCCACAAAATGTATACTTATTACTTTTGTACATTAAAAAATATAAATGAGGTGAATTTTAATCTATATAAACATGATATTGAGTATTTGTTTTGTTATTGCATTTGAAATCATTTTAAATTTTTAAATTTTTATTGTTGAAATAGTTTTTTCTTTAACTTATAGAAACTAAAAATTTAAAACTACTTTAAATTTTTTTCATGAATAAAGTCTACATCTTTTCCACGATTGTAATTTTTAAAAAATAATTTTTTAAATTTAAACAAATGAATAAAATTATATATTGATGGTTGGTTTAAGTTGTGATTTGATAATGACGGGTTGGTTGACGAAGTAGGGCGGCACATTCGATGGGTAGTTGCTTTGAGTAGTTTCTAAGGCAACAATTTTAATATATTTTTATAAAATTTTCATTTTTCATTTTAACTTTTCGTTCAAACCTTTACCTTTCAATACTTATAAAAAATGAGTTCGTTCCAAGGTCAAACATTAATTAAGTAGTTTAGCACGAATCATTAATTAACAAGTATATATATATATATATATATATATATATATATATATATATATATATATATATATATATATATATATGTATCAGTTTAGACCACCTACCTATTGCCATAGTCACATTAGTTGAAAACTTGTTGCAATTTTTTCAAAATTTTACCTCACCACTTCTTTAATACCACTATTTCTTAGATTTGAGAATTCTGTTATCCTCCTAAAATAAAAACAGGTTAATGCCAGAACCATTTCATGTTCAATATTTTTTTTTCTTCAAAATTGTCTTAAATCAAATACAACCAACAACCATCACGAGTAAAGAAACTAAAATCATGGACCAACTTCAAAATATTATAAAACATGTCAGACTAGTTAAAAAATTATAATTTAAATTAAACAACCATTTTTAATTAGATCCATTTAATAAATGACCAATTCATAGGTTAGATTGACCTTTTTTTTATTCTATCTCACCTTTCTTAGCACACCAAACCACTTTTTTGACAGCACTAATGGCATGTTGGTGGCTCCATGAAAGACTTAAAATCAATTCAAGTTAAAAGACATTTGAAAATATATAAAATTATTATATTATTTCATGTTTATGTTTTGCCAATTCTATACTTATCGTTACATTATTCGATTAGTAACCAATAATATTAATTTTGGAAAACACAAAATTTGAAAAATCCTTTTGTACACTATACATTTGTAAGATGATGCAAAACCTATGAAAACCCATTCATCATCTCAGTTGGGAACATCTCTTGAGCTCACCTTTTCGATAGAGATCCTTCTTAGACACACTTAAAATTCCAGATTGCTCCTCAACCTTGCTAATAAGAAGTTTCAGTAGAGGAACCTTCGATAGAGTTCTCCGAGACCCTACCATTATCAACTTTTTCTGCAACCAAAAGCCAAGCCAAAACTAGTTGAAACAAAACTAAAACATCTTACAAAATATATTCTTGGTACAAAAGTTTTATCATGCATAAAATGATTAATGGATCTTTATTGATCAAGCGTAGTGAAAATTGTTTGAAACATTGCCAATTGTTTGAGCACGAGAGAACTACCTTAGCACGAGTAAGAGCCACATTTATCCTGTGCCAGTCTCCAAGCAGAGAAGCAGCACAGCTTGTTGGGTTTTCGGTAGACCTTACAAAAGATAATAATATACAGTCCTTATCTCTACCCTGGACAAAAATAATAGATGACCAGTTTGTCATGAGGAATGGGGATCTTTATCGGTGCAACGAGAACAAAATATTTAATTGAAATGAACAGAGAAGACGCCTAAGTCATGCCTTAATTGTTGGAGAAATGTTAAACACTACGTGATTATGTGACTTAAGTCCTGCTTGAACTAACCTGGTATTTGTCAATGGTATGTATCTCCAAGGAAGTCATGCAAGCAGCTTGCCGGATGACGTTTGCCTGGGAATTATATGGAGTTATAATGCCAATGTGTTCTTTTCCGATTCCATTTTTTACTAATTCCTTTGCAACCTGCAACATAAATAAATGAAAAAACTGATTTATGGATGACACAGACAAATGACACGAATCTTAAAGCGCAGGCAAGGAAGAACGACCAAGGCAACCAACAGACAAAGTTGTTTAACTTTGTGGTTTTCATGTCAACCTATTTCCATTAATTATTTTTTATTTTGGTAATCAGTACTATTCACGTGGTAAGAATGTATAGTTTTGGAAGAAATTAGTCTTCACAGCACAATTCCCATGGTCCAACTCTCTAGCGCACTAAGGCTTGGGAAGCTTCACATGTAAAATGTGTCAACTTGCTTGTCAAAAAAATAATGTATCATCTTTGAAATTGACCTACCTCAGCAATTATTTGAGCTTCAATAGGGTTATTTACAATCTTCTGATCTCTTGACTCTAAAGCAGGCAACTTGTCTACGATAGAAAAATGAATGTAAGCAATCTCATTTACAATAAATATGGGATGAAGGATGTAAAAATAACATTTACAAACCAGTATCAATAAATATCACAGGTCTTCGAGGATTCAAAACCTGCACATGTTTATACAAATGAGATAAGATTAAATTCTGCTTAAAAGATAATTTTATTTTATCCAAGCATAAACATTGCTAACTGTAACACTGACATTTTTTTGTCCTGAAAGATTGTGTAGTTCACCTGCTCAAAATTTTATTAAAACTCGAACTTTGCCCAAAATAATTATGAAATAAGACATTAAGAATAAGCATCTTATTGTTGAGTATGACTATTCAGTATCTATATTAAGACTGATAAATACAGCACAGCATAAGAGTCTATGTTGAGACTGACAAACGAAGAATTTATAAATATTCTTGTTCAATTTTAATTGTGCAAGGTGAATTGCGTTGTATACACAATGCTAATAACATACCTAGAATAAGGGTACGTTGGAAGAAGCAAATTACTAAACAAAAAGAAATAAAGCAACAAGCACAGAGAAAATAAGATTAAAAAGGAAATATTCAAATGAGATCCAGCTCTTATGAATAGATAGAATATAGCAAAAAAAGCAAAGATCCTCCATATAAGATAATAAAAATCAGAAAAAAGAAAGCCTTACATTTTCTAGCCAAGGCAAGTCACACTTTAAGCCTGAAAACTCGAGTTTTGCATTAGCTACCTCAACTGAACCACACCTCAATCTGTCACCATATATCAAGGCATTTGAAAGGTCCATAATGTCCTGACACATACGATACTGCATATACCAAGCGAAGCCGATAGATAATGAAGCAAAAAGGAAAAAACCGAAGTTTGTAATCTAATATCTTGCAGTCATAACATACCTGACTCTGTAGAGCTAAAATAGCTTGTGGATGTGCTTCAGAGAGTCTACAGAACAAACTTATCCCCATGCCATTCTCTCGGGCTTCTGTACTCTAGGAATTGTCAGATAGAAAATTTCAAATAAGATTAAATCATCGAGATTTTTACAAAGAATGAACAAATAGTTTAGTGACATACCTGGACAAGTGGTGGCAGTTGATAATGATCCCCAACAAGAACAAACATTGAAGCAAATGTTAGAGGGCCCAAGGACACCTGCAATGGCAATATTTACAACATAATTTTTTTTGAAAGCATGCAACATAATTATATACACATGAACAATCATTTCCTTTTTCTCAACGTTTCTTATGTCATGCTTCGTTTCTATTGAAATTATGAAGTTTTAAGTATTTATAGGGAGAAAAATAGATAGAAAAGAATGAGACACCAATTGGTAGAAATTGAGGTGCTTTATTTTAACTATTATTTATACTAATTAGTTAGGGAGACATATCGCTGTAAGATTAGGAATGACAGTAATAAAAATTATTTAACTTCGGAAAAGGTACTGTTAGATATACGAAAGGAATAAGAAGCATACTGGTAAAGTTGTCTGTCCAGCTTCATCCATAATGCATACATCAAACCTTGTATTGGCAAGCAAGGGACTAGAAATGCCAAGACAAGTAACTGCAACAACTTTGACTTGTTCCAACCTTCTTTTGATATCTTCAACACCTTGTACACTCATTGCTGAAATAGAAACTACTGTCAAAAAATTTATTACAAATCTTATTATAACTTAAAAAGGGAGCGTACAAGGAACAAATTGGCAAACCTGAGAGGCAGTGTTCTCTGACCTCCTCATTCACTATTTCATGTCTTCCAATTCGTACAAAATCAATTCCCTACATCCATTTACATTATAATGACATGAAATATATGATATCTAGAAAGTAGAAATTGAAGAATATAATGACTGTATTTTGAAAGAGGAAAGGAAGAAGGAGCATTAAGAGGGATAGATATTAACTTATTCTTTGTACATTTTTAGCTCTGTAGCTTTTATATTTATTGTTAGTTTTCATATGAGAAGTTATGCTTATTTTATGAGACTTAATGAATTTTATTTTATAGAATATATTTCTAATTTTACTATCTTTATATATGTGAGTAGTTTTATTATTATATTCAGCAGATTTTTCGTGTATATATTTTAATTCAAAACTATCCAGAACATCACATGACAGAGTTTTGGGCTTCCATAGAGCACCATCCAAGATTGATAAGTTGAACTTTTACAATAAAAAGAGGATGCTTGGAGGAAGCTACTATAGACCACAAAGAACAGTGCTTAAGTTAATGAGCTTCACTCTTAGCCATGTTTGCTGTGCTTCACATAGAGCTCAGAGTTAAGTTACTCAATGAGAAGAAAAATAAGTTGTTGACACATGGCGGCATTAAGTTCACGTGTTTTTTTACTTTATTTTTATATTTTTCCAATCAACCGTATCTTTTTCAGACCTATGGACTATGGATAATAGTTGACCGAGAACAATTTAAATAAATGGCATGGATTCTTTTCCAGCAACATGGAGTTATATTTAATGATGTCAAATAATACAGGAAGACATTATAATACATGGACATGGATACCTGTGCTTTTAATTTGATGAGTAAATTATCAACAGCAGAATTTGTATAGGCGGTTAGCAAAATGGATGTCCCTCTAATCAACAAAGCTTTCACAGCATGAACTAATGTGGAAGTTTTCCCTGTTCCAGGCATCCCTAATATAAGTGCATAATCTTTTGCTGTAAGTATCTGAAATAAATAACAAAGCAGAGTCACAAAGAAAATCAATTTAATTATAAACTAAAGCAACTTGCACGTTGTTAAACTTATAAAAGAAAGACAAGAAATAACAGCTACATGCAAACCTTTAGAATTGCTTTACGTTGGTCATAATTCAAACTCTTTTCTGACCAAACATAGGATATCGCAGGATCCTGGCTAAGTAGAGATCCACTGTCGAATCTAGGAGCCTACAACAAGAAGACATCAAAACAGAGAAAAGAGGCAAGTACTTAGTCATACACAAATGTAGTACGTAATTCAAACAACAATATAACAAGTAATTCACCTCAAGATCAACAATCATCCGCCGCAAATGAGCACTTTGATCATTTTGTAGAAATAGTTGTACAAGATTAAACCTACAGATGCATAAATAATCATATTCAAATAACTTTCGATGATAGCAGACACTATGCAAATTAAATTTTGAATAAAGCGGCAGTCAGAGAAGCACCTCATAACTGCAAAGGAAGTCACAGCTTCATCCCTGTCAATTCTCCAAACCTGCTGAATGAGATCATGTGCAGTGGAAGAACACCCCGGAATTCGCAAACGCTTAGAAAAGGAAACCTAGAGGAATTTTATAAAATAATTTGAAATTAATTACTCAGCAATACATCACTGTCCAACCAAGGATTATGATGGTAAGGCTATATATATATATATATATATATATATATATATATATATATATATATATATATATATATATATATATATATATATATATACACACGTACGATCATACAAGAAAAAAATGCTAACTTACAAATGGGTGAAATTCAGACTCGTACAGAAAAGAAACAATTAATTTAATACTTACAGATACATGGATCGGACTAATATCAGATATCACCCCTTTAGCAATAATTTGATTGGTAGATTGATTACTCAGTATCTAAAAAGTAACAAAAAAAGTAGGTATTAATTAAAAGATACTAGTACATATATTAGTAATAAAATAAGATGCATAATACAACCCTTTTAAAAAAGGCAGTTATTAAAATATTTCATTTAATGGGTAGGAAAGAACACTAGTAGTACTGCTTGCATGACAGGCTTAAGGGCTAAGCCAAATAAAATCTCCAGTAGATTGTCTAGAATGCAAAGCCAATTTCTAATCTTTATCAAAAAAAACAGGCAGTCCAAACTAAGAGTTCTGTATGATATAAAGTTGCTATTAAGCATTGCCAAGAACCAAGTTCTGTATATTAAAACCTAAGCATACGGAAATTGAACAATATTGAAGAAAAAAGATTGATATAGTGATAAAGGACTAAGAATGAAGCTTGAAACTACATTTCAAGTTAAATAGTAGAGAAGGAATTGTATTTGTTTGTTAGAAGGAGCATGGGCCTTTTGTATTTGTTTGTCTAATCAAGACCTCTTATTGAGCATTGTTAGTTAGTAGGCTTCTTAGGTGGCCTGTTGGACCATTGGGCCTAATTAGCTAGATGAACCTGGTAGTCTTAGGCTCATAATATAAGTAGTCAATTGTTGCCTTATATAAAAAATATTGGTCTGTGAATGAAGTTTTATCCTTCTGAGAAAAAACTCTCTTTAGGTTCTTAGGAATTACTATTGATTCTTATCTTCGAATTTCCTAATTCAATGTGGCAAATTTTTCTTTCAACTAATCAATCATTTTAGGATTTTGGAGTTGTTCTTCACATTCCTTACCTAGTCCCATTTGTTGTTTTATTTCCTATTTTTTATTCCTTGTTGAATTGTGAGATGCTAGTGTACAACCACTGACCTAATCCCTATTTATATATCCTACATGAAATCCATCATTCATAGTGGAATAAACGTTTTCTGCTAGACTTTTATGAGAGTTGTGGAGTGATTGATCTCATTCTGCTAAATGATACTGATGATTCATGATTGGAATGAGTGACAGATGGGAGAAAAGGGGAGCCTAAAGGATAAAGTTGACCATCCAACTATAGCATTTTGGGGTTGCCAGTGACGCGCTTATCCGATTTGATAACTATGATTGACAGTATATGGGCTTACCTAGATGTATTCTGTAGGCTATGATATGATTAACTCACTGTAGCATAATTATGTTCTCTATCTATCTATCTCTACATACGGAAAACTAGGCTAGTAGTACAATGACATAATTACTTCCAGCAAATTGATAATGTTCTTAGTGGACTATCCTTAAACTCAATTTCTATGTTGCTGACAACGTCAACATGCTTAAATGTCTCTACTAGTGATTCTCTTTTCCCTATATATCTGTAGACAAGCCTTCTTGTTACAATTCTAAATTATATTATATTCTTAAATTTTGAGTTCTAATTATCTATTGATATCTGTAAACTATTACCAACTTATTTTGGATAGGCCCTTTCTCTTATTATTTTCTGTACCGTCACGAAGACAACCTCGGGAGTTGACCAAACACGGAATCGGTAAGCCAATGATATGAGACTTGGGTGAATGGCCGATCCAGTTATTGATAGGGCCTCACCTATCAATGCGGACTGAGAGGACTCTTCTCTAGTTGTTCCCAAAATATATAACACCGAGTCAACCACCCTTGATTCGTGCCTCGAAGCAAGGAAAAAAAAGTGTTTATAGGGGGTAGAAACCACTATGTAGAGTCGGCCATAACATGCAGTAAGGATAAAAATGTGGGGGCCCATAAAGCAGAGATAAAAGGCGACTGAGATAACCTAGGTCGGGCAAATTTTTACCGATTATCTAAGATTCTAGTAGAGAGTAAACCTAGAGTACTTTTTTACTGTAACATTTTCTAAACAAACTTGGTAATTAGGAGTCCATTATGTACATTCTTCACTACAACAGCTATTGTAGGAATTGTCCTTGCCACAACACATTCTAACTTTACCTTGATTGTGTTAAACATGTAGACATCACAACTAAACTCACTTTTTTTAAAAATAGTAAAAGGAAATTATTCATACCACATGATCTCCACTTCGAAGTGTGAAATCTAAATCATTTTTCAATGAGGCACTAGAAGACGCATCAGAAACTTCAGAAAGGTAAGAAGAAGAATCTTCTTGAATGAAGCGATAAATGAATTGATTCTCTTTGACAGATTTCTTAAGAGGTATTCCTTGTGAGCCATCAAGAACAATAGAACAAAGGCCACTACTGTTTGAACTCTTTGCACTATGTGATTGCCACACCTCTTTCTTTAAAAGCTGAAACAGTAAAGGAGAGAAGTAAAAAAAAGGAAGACTTTTAAAACTTGTATTGATTAAAATAAATTTCAAGGGAGACACTAAAACACACAGATTTCGAAACTTGACCTCAGTCTCTTTAGCTTCTAAATCAATCAAACGATCCCAATGGCCGAGAAAATTAGTATGCGAAGATGTCATGTGATTAGTAAGAGAATAAAAAATTTCTCCCAACCCACTGCTCTCTGCGCTTCCACCATTTGCCTAAAGCATTTTATAGTGTCACAAGAAATAGACATGTTACCTAGATTAGATTTTTAAACAGATTAAGAAATAACATCATCATAAACTTCGTATAAAATATATTTATGAGATTTTTTTAATAATCTTATTACTATAGTAACTTTATGTTGTATAACCTTGTGCAACAACAAATCTGTGACATCAATGGACATGACAATAGATTACACAGACATTATTTTTAGTAAAATTATTTGGAAGGAAAATAATGCAGCAATTAACATTAGTGTAATGGTGAATTGGTTAAACGAATAGTAATTTTAAAGGTTTCTTGAATCAAGAAGTAAAAATGCAATTGCCAAAAAGAATTTATTTTTTATTTCTAAATAGAAATCTGAAGAAAAAAATAAGTCTTAGTCACCTATGGTCCAATACATTTAGAACAGATCTAAGTAAATAATGATTGTGAACATTAAAATCATCAGCAGAAACAACCATAACATGGTCTCTGTCAGGAGCCGTTACAGATTATAACTGTTGGCAAAATTTCTACACTTCCCAAGGTAAAGAAGAATTACCTTATGATAAATGCCACAAACATTAAGATGGCGACAACCTCTGCAAATGCTAGGACTCTACAATCAGAAAATGAAGGATTGTAATGGAAATCAGATGAAGTTGTTAAAATACTTTACATAAATTACGGAAAAGTCCGTACCTGTAACATTGGAGGCAGTTGTTGAAAAGTCAATGCCTTCAGAATATCACTTGCTAGTTCATTCCGTCGCATTATAAGCCCAGTTAAGTCAGATCTTTGAACCACAATGCCCTTGGTACATAAAAAATTAAACAATATTACCTTCTCTTCACAGAAAGAAAAAACTGACAACTTAAAGCAACAAATTTTACTTGCGTCTGGTCAGATTGGAGATAGTATAGAAGACCAGAATCAACAGTCTTCTTATACCTATTACCATAATCAGGACAAAATAAATAAAATCTTCAGAAAAAATTTCTACAAACTGTTAGAAATTAATAGTTTGCTTTGCACCTTTCAGACATCAAGAGAGTGTACAAAATTACTTGGGCACTGTGTTCAACTGATGACTGCAGATATGAAAGGAAGAGTTGCAAGTGAAAAACACCACAAATAATAGGGTATTTAATAAAATATTTCGAGTGCTTTAAATGTGTTCATTGGAGTATCTATCTGATTAATTTTTTATTAGTTGAATTTAGATGAGGACCAGAACATGCCTGGCTATTTCGTGTTTTCCCCGTTTTGAATTCTATCGGCATGATTTTTTCCTCCTGCTCGTCTTTTTGTGATTGAATTTTCACTCTGACTGAAGCATCAATCATCCCTTTCAAACCATATTTTGGAGCCCACACCATCTCTTCAATATCAATTACCTACAACAATAATCATGAATAATATATATTATTCAAAACAAACTCACGAGAAAAGAACTTTTGTATTGATTATTATGATTTTTGTACAAGTGATGAACTTCAGTTTAAAACAGCTATATATAGACTACAGAAGCTCATCTAACTGACTTGACCAGTTATAACAACCTAAGAGTGATAGTTGTAACCAACAATTACTCTTAAATACAACATATAATGATGGTTGTAAAACAAAACCAGTTATACACTCACATGTGTAATGATCATTTTGTTAGAAATGTACAATATTGAGGACAGCATAACAAGCATTTCCGAGAACATCTTGGATGACATATGTGCAATGCAACACACTTCAACGTTCACATTCTAAATTCGAAAAGGCTGCTCTAATAAAATACAATCATAGACAAGAGGTACAAAATACTAAGTCTAAGATAGAGAAAAGGGCACCACAATAACCAAATTGTAAAGATAGATGCATATGTGTCGATAAATAAGCAATTAAACATTAGAAGCTATAGTGCTCCCCTAAAACTTGGTTAGCCAGTGCAATTGTGCATCGTCAACCAGATGCATATCTGTCCACGTAATAGTATGTAAATATCGATTAGCCAAACAAAAGAGAATAGATTGGAGCTTGCCTCAGATATGCCAACATTCTTTGGCCCATTATCGAATCCAAATTTGACATTCGGGTCTTTTCTTTCCTGTCAAAACACCAAGTCATCAGTCACAATATTCAATTAATGAAAACAACAATTTTGATTAAATATTTTTAAAAAATTCCCACATTGTCTGCTTTAAGTAGTGGGTACAGTTTATAAATCTAATGAGCAACTCCACGAGACTAATGTTGTAAGATTGAACCCTTGAAAAGTCCCATTATTAATCTAATTTATGTTGTGAATCAACGTTATCAATTTCAAGGGACAGGGGTTCCCCACTTATATACATTGTTTTAACGTTATCTGGAACTTAATATTAACCTGAAAATTCCATTAGTTGAAGACTTGCCAAAGATGCAGCGCACATGTTGAAGCCATAACACAATGACTCACATAGCGGCTGCAATAGTGGACAGAGTCACAATTGGAAACTGAGGAATTCCATTACACAATAGCATTGTAGCAGTTATTTAACTACATAGTTAAGTATTATTGCCTGGTTTGGGAGACATGTGGAAGGGGAGGCATTTGAATTGGTTGGTTTCACATTGTCTACCTCAAAATACTAGGGTGTGGTTTAGACATATGTTCTGAAACTTCACTAAATGTCCATTGGTTCTAAGATGGATTTAACAAATATTTTATAGAAATAAAACTTAAACCAATATAACCAGTATTATCAAAGAAAAAATAGACTTGCAAGGATAGGTTGTTGATAGTTTTAATCTGTCTGCAGATGATGTACGTGCTTTGCTATAGCCATAATGTAACCGCAACCAACTCCTCATAATGCTCTGTTTCAGCCCATATATTGAAGGCTATGACGAGTTCTGTGCATTTTGATATTGGCACATATCAGTTTTTCTTCAAAACCTTAAATTTTGGATGATAAAATTTTGGCCATACGAAAGAATATAAGAACTAGAGAAATAGGTGAGCGGTTTGATATTTTCTAAATCTCGGATTTCTTATGCATTTGTTTGGTATGACCCAAGACCATTGTTCAGTTTATTCATTTGGAAATGACCTTTATTCAAAAAATAATAAAACAACCCTTTTTATTAAATAGGCTAGTGTCAGAACAACCTAAAATTCCCTTCTACCGTCTTTCATTCTAATAAATTAATATAGAATACTTTTTCACAGACATTGAACACCGAAAATCCAATTAGCATGATATCTAGGATATGATTTAATTTATATCTCTAAATGTTATACCTATTGAGATTGCTTCAATTCATCATTCTGACAATACATATTCTAGAAAAGCTACAAAGAGGCCATAAGGCCTTAAGGAATCAGTTACATTAGAAAACATCAAAGGAATCACTTCTTTGATGAAAGATAACAATAAATGTTTCAGAAAAAAAAAAAGGATAAATCATTTTTATGTACCTCCATATTTTTAAACTGCCCGATCCAACTTAATATTCTAGGAATAGCATCTCTCATAGTTTTGCGAACATCATTTTCATTTACTGCAATGCACATGTGAAAACAAATGGTCCAGAGTTAACACTCGTAAGTCATATTGGAGAAAAACTTGTGTTGGACTTTAAATGAGATGTGTTACATATAAATTTAAATGCATATATATAAAGACAAAATACCACACCTCCACATGCATACAAACTTTCAATGTTTTTCTGTAATACCAATTCTGCATAATCTTCCATGAAATTTACTGTAGGATGGTCTTTTGTAAGCCCAGCCTGCACCAACATACCAAACCGCAACACAAGATAAATTTTAAAGAATAAAACTTGAAAAAAAAAAAACACAGAATCTTACAGTCTGATTCATCATAATGAGAGAATATGTGTTGTATTTTGTCTTATGGGGTACATGATAAATTTTAGATACCTGAAAAATTTGATGCAGCATGGTTCCAGCTAACGCTGCAGTTGAGTAATCATTGTTTTTCAACCTCTCGTCTAAGACAGTTCTCCTCGGGCAACTAAAACTGGAAGCAACCTGAAACAAACTCGTGTTAGAAGTCTTACACAAAAGCACTTGAAATAGAAAATAAATTGAGTGAATTTGATAAGACTACAGGAATTACACTTGACAAGTCTGCTTCAATCACCAATTTTAAGGCATTAAAGAAATATTTAAATGATCAGTTTGTAGGCATGCAGATTAAACCTAAACATTTTTGTCACAACTCCCCTTATGCACTACCTTCAATACTATTTATTAATAACAACACATTATTTTCTGCTTTCCTTTAACTAACACACTTAAGTTTTAATAGACAAGCTAAGAGACTAAAAAGTGGAAAATGTGGTAACAACACAATACACATCCAACACTATCTTTGAACGCCTACAAAAACACAGAAACAGGTGCAGTAAAATGAACAATAGTAACCCTGCTCCCCAGGTAGAAAAAATAAAAACAAATAAGTCTTTTAACATTGCCACAGACACATTAAACACCCAAACAGTCATAAGCATCTGTGGCTTATTATAAACATAATGTTCATCAGAACAGTCAAATTTTACAGTATTCAGTAATGTTGGATAATTAGATTGTATAAATCACTGTTTCATTAATAAAATTGGCTTTAATATCTCGTGATCCCTGTTATATACCCGATTGATTGTTATGGTGTCTAAAAAAAATTTACTTCATAATATAAGATTTTACTGTAATTTTAGTCCCTATTTAATATTCTCCATTAAATAATGATGCAGTAAATAAGATGTCACATCATAAAAACACACGATAACTTGACATTCTATTTATCACGTCATTATTTAACGACAGGGACAAGTAAACAATGTCATATTATAAGGACTAAAATGACAAAAATTATGGGGACAAAAATAATAAAACAAATACATTATAAACCCTTGAAAAAGTGACATTGTTTTAATCCTTATTTTCCAATTATTCTTAAAAATAGTACTTATATGAAAAACAACTACAACTCATCTGCATGACAACGTCCTTTAATCTTACATATTATCATCAAATACTAAACAGCATGTGTAAGCAAATATAAACAAAAAATATCATTTTATAAGCAAAGTTCAACCATCAGTCAGATGTTATTATTTCAAAAACATCTTTATGTTTAAACCTAGGAATCTTTCCCAATAATTATGACTTACGGTAATTTAGAAATTGTAATTATTTGTTTTATGAAATCAATACCATTAACTGAATTTAAATAACACTAACATTCTTAATTAATGTGAAATTACGTATAAATTAAAAAAAAAAAGTAACAAAATTTGTGTACCAGGACATCATTTAATTGCAGGAACAAAAATAGTAAAATTTTACATTATAGGAACCAACCAAATAGACAGAAAAAAAAAATTAGGGAACAAATAAAATGGGTATAATAAAGGAACCACTAATATGTTTAAAACCAATAAAATTTACGTAAATCACCATATCATATTTCCCATGGTAATTTAATGTTGAAAGCTGAAGTCACAAATGGAAATAAGAGAGTAAAAAGATAACTACCCGTGTTCCAGACACTAGAATATCTGGGTGTACAATCAAAAAGTTTTTATCATGATCAATATCACAATTCCCCCCTTCATCGAATTGACCGATTACGTGCACAGTATCTCCAGGTGCAATTACACTACAAGACCTGGGATGATTAAGAAGAGGAATTACAAAAGCTAGAAATATTATAATTAAATTGACCGGAAGGGCAAGAAAAAAAACTGATACTCAAACATTTGAATAGTCTAGTACAAGACTGATTATAAGTTATAAAAACTGAGCAAACAATAAAAATAGAGCAACAGAGGATGAATAGAGAAAGCCTTATTACTGTGAAATAGACTCAAACAAGTGTATATTGCCTTAATTATATTGTAGTGGTACTAACATTGACTTTTACACAACGGCTAAACAGCCATATACAATAACTCCAATAATTATGCACTTGTTTTGGATAAACATCTTTATAAACATTACTAGAAGAAAAAAAAATAAGGAAAAAATTAAGTTTCTCCATAACCTAAGAATTAACTTATACACACAAGTTAAAAATGAAAATTTAGATAAATTATATGAAAGAGTATCTACAAATTAGCTTGCAAATAAGCTTACTTTAGCTTCTAGAGATGCTCATTTCACACTTTTCCTTATTTTTCCTCGTAAAAGTGTTTATGGAGAAGTTTATCCAAACAAACCCTTTTTATAACAAGAACAAACTCACGTTTCTCCCCTCAACCTACATAGCATACTCTTAGAATTTGGCGCTAATGCCTAACTCAGCCCTAGATGAAAGTTGTTCCCCACTTGTAAACTTTAATTTGATCATATCACTAATTAATATAAGATTTCTAACACACTCCTGACATCATAAATTGGACATCTTGAGTGTTAAGTTTGCAACATTTAACATCTGCAAGAAGTTCAACAACAACCTTATAACAATTTCTAGGATATGTTATGATACATCTTAAAATTTAAGTTTGAGGTTAACTCAACCCTACAAAACTAACTTGTAAGGTGAAGGTTGTTCTATTAGATTTCATCTTAAAACCAATTAGCATTAAGAAAAGTTATTCAACATATATATAAGTTATACTTCAAGAATTGAAGATTTCTCCAACACCCCCTCCACATATGCCTGTCAAACTAAGTGAGCCTACTAAAATAGGCAATTATCAAGATGAAATATAGACTCTAATGCCATGTCAAATTTCAACTTAAAACCAATTAGCATTATGTGAAATGACCCAACAGATATAAAAGTTGCACTCCTAGAATTTGAGGTGGGAGATATGAGACTTTAACACCCCACCTCCACAAACCTCTATCAAACAAGGCAAGGCTTCTAGAATAGGCAAGATAAGTTATAAGCTATGATACATGTTAGATTTTAACTTAAAACCAATTGACATATACATATATGCACCAAACTTGTGAAAAATGTAGCCAACCCATGTACCACATGGAGGCATAACAATTACATCTGATAATTGGTTATTCTGATTGACAAAACAAATAAAAATGCAGCCCAACAGCATCATCTCCTAAATGAAACAAAATCAAACTCCATATGTTAAGTAGGATAATTGACAACCAATAGTGGATAGTGTACTGTTATCACAGTAGACTAGGTAGGTTGGAGCATAGCTCCATCCCCACTCCCGACCATGTTGTCAAATTCGTGAGTCAACAAAAAGTTGCGGAACTTTTGTAGACTTGAATCATAGATTTGACTCATAATACTCATGAGAGTCACCTAATATAAAAAACAATATTAAAAAAAAGTCTATTCATGACATGTATTCATAACATAATACTTGTAGCACAACAATAATTCTACATTTCAACTTCATTTTAAAGAAAAGTAGCAAATCACAATTTTAAAGTATGACAATACATTAGTGTTAAATAAGATTAAACTTACATAATAACCTAATCACATAAATTCATAAAAACGTAGGTTCTTAAAGTGAAAACAATTTAAAAAGAGGTAATTTCTTCAAACAGTTTTCAAATAAACTTTATCATTGTTGGGTCAATGAAGGGCAAAATTTACATTGATTTCAAACTCATTGACTCGCTTCTTGACCCAATAGTTTATACAAATTTTGCACGAGTTTACTTGAGTTTAATCAGAAAACAAAGTGAGTTAACTTGTTTCATGATCGTAAACTCATAAGAATTAACTCAAGAGTTTGACGACCTTTCTCCCAACCACTCAAGGAAGAGCATTTAAGGGTTACATATTGCACAACCACTCAAGGAAGAGCTTTTAAGGGTTACACATTGCACTACATTGACTATCGTTATGATAGACTTAGCCAAGAATTCACACTTACGCTGATAAGGGAGAAAATCAGTCATAGCTTTTAATCAATATTGTTCAGTATATCACTTGGTTGGGACAAAGCAATGGCAGTGACAAGCACATGGCAGACTGTGCACAGCCTGGAGACAATACATGCAATGATAAAAGAAGACTGGATTGTGGGATGAAACGAGGCACGAGAAAAGAGAGAGGAACATGTTAATGTGAAGAGCAATGAAATGATATCCCCGTTCCCCACTGGCCTTTGGTTGGAGACTGAGAGTTGCTTTGGGGTAAGTTGGGTGTTCCTCCCTTTACACTAAACACTACTTCATAACAAAAGGAGAATGAATGCAACTTAGTATAAGTGCATTTTTTATTCAACGCATTCTGAAAATACAATCGCTTATTTTTGTCAGCTTCATGAGAAAATTTTATAAAAAGTTATTGTTTCTATAAAAAGAATCCATGCCAAAACAGAGAATAATGACAATAGTAACGGAGCCAACTACTATTCTACTACAACAATAACATAAAATATTTTACTGTGCAGAATATATAGGATTGAAAGGCTAGATAGGTTCACCGACATAAGCCTGAGTACACAGAGCACACCAGCTTACCACTCATTCTGTAAGTTTACAGCCCGCTCTTCCCCAGTTTGTTCATTTAGCAAACGTAGCACCTGGAAAGCAATAGATCAACTAGTACTATCAGTCAGATTCTTAGAAGCAGTCAGAAATTACAGCAAAGAGCCTTACAGCACCTTGTATGAGCATTGAGCAGCAAAGGAATCAGCAGACCTAAGTTCAGATACCTAAATTAGAAAGTAATAGTAATAAGCTTATGAGAATTCGTTTTTTGTGAACCCAAAAACCATTAAAACAGAACTTAGTTCCAAAATCATACCTCCAAAACCAAATAATTAGAATTGGAGAAGACGTTTGCATTCTCTTTAGGCAAATATGATTTGGTCCTTTCTACTGCAGGTTTGACTTTGACAGGGAGCTCACCAGCAAATTGATTTTGAGGTACTTGAAAGGAAGAAGGGTTGTTATTACAAACTGGAGCATCATCAACAGCAATGGCATCTTCAACTTGATCTAAGAGTTCAAGCAATGCCTATAAAAATAAATATTCATATTGATAAGTGGCTTCCGAAGTGCTGAAGTTTAAGCAATTCGTAGAATGACAAGTAATTAGTCATATCTCCTTCACCAAAAGTTTCTTTCATATCAGCTTCACCAAAACGCTTATAAACCTAACCTGACCTAACCTTTTTGTTCTGTCGTAGTAAAGGTTGGTCACACTGTCCCTTGTGTTCAACATCCTTGACACGCTGCACCTGCAAGTAACAACAAAGAAGAAACTCAAACAAACTAGTCATTTGGGTCACGAGAATGATAAACCAAATATCCAAGAGCATTAGTCAATGAATGAAAAGGAACATTTAAGAACCCCTTTTTGTACAAAACAAATGCCAAGAGCAATAGTCAAACAATGAAAAGGAACATTGAAGCACCCATTTTGTACAAACAAAATCTCAAGATCATCAGTCGATCAAGAAAAATGAACACGTAAGCACCCATTTTGTACAAAACAAAAATTTAAGATCATCAGTCGATCAAGGAAAATGAACATGTAAGCACCCTTTTTTGTACACAAGAAATCAATCACCTTGTCAGGGCGATAGGACAAAGACGGCGGAGTTCTGAAGGGACTCTGTCCACTCACATCACGGGTCGAGTTTAACCTTTTGAAGCTCAACGGCACCTTAGGAGTTGGCGAAGCAACCTTATCCAGAAAAGTCTGCACCACATTATAATTCATTCACTTACATTGATAATAAGAGGATGTTAACAAGTAGTGTCACAAAACCTCTACACACCCCTGTTAAGATACTCTATTATGGGTTGAAATCTATAACTGACACTCATAAAAAATTGTGATTTTCAAAAAATTTCTACCAACAATAAAAGTGTGTTCAAAAGGGTATGTCAGAAGAGTGTGTTGCTAGCACTTCTCTTATCAATAAATACCAAAACTAAAGAAACAAAGAGAAAATTTGCCTCCTTGCCGCTGTCATTGCGAATTGGCGACAAGTTCATTTTGGAAGAGGCAGCCAAGGATTTGAGCACTTCAGGCGTATGTTTGGAAACTGCCTGGAGCCTCTCATTCACGGGAGATATTTTCCAGGTGACCTCGTTGACAGCGTCCTCCTGGCTCTGCTTCACCAACTGTATTCAGACAATTTAGTTAATTTCCGAAGAAATCGAGAGACTAAAAAAAGGGTTAACTGGAATTGGTGTTAGAATCTGTTTGGATACAAATGAAAATGACTTTTGAGAACTCTATATTTCCAACAGATAATACCTCCTTGTATTCAAACAAACCCTTAGTCAGTTAGTTAGTTATGTTACCATTCCAGGTGAGAATTTGAAGCGTGTCTGCGGAGACACTTCGTTGGGTTCTTGTGGTGGATTGTCGGTGGTGGTGTTGGTGGAGGTGGTGGCGTTGGTTGCGGTGGTGGTGGTGGTGGTGTGGGGTTGAAGGTGGTGGTGTTTCTGAGAGGCCCGATCGAAGAAGTGGTGGATGCCGAACTTGGAAGGTTGTTGGGGATTGGGTTTCTTCTTCTTGGGAGCCATTTTTCGATTACTCTGATCGATGAATGGATGCGAAGGTAGGGTTTCGGTTTCTTCTTCTGCCCGCGAAAAGACACACTTTGATATGCTTTGCTTTGCGTTTTTTCCCGCCTCGACTACGTTATTCCCACAAATTGTTTATATAAAATAATAATAATAATAAACAGTTACCAAAATTTTGTATGGGTAAAATGTAAAATAATTACAAAAATATTATTCTTCATTAATAGTTATAATTTTTTTTATGGTGAAGTTGGATCTTAAATAGATAAGGAAAGTTAATAATGGTCGTAATTGATTGTTTAGACAATAAATTTTATATTTTTCTATCATAGACAACTAGATTGAATGAAACTTGGTTTGGGTACAATTTTTCAAAGTTGGAAAGGGTTAACTTATTATGATGAATGGGTGTTAGTTGTTATTATTATTGATAAACCAGATAATTATGAAAAACTTAGAGTAGAATAAAGACTAGTTATAATTTGTGTTGAGATTGACTTGACGGTTGTGGTAGTTGAAAAATTTTGTTTGAACTAAAAATGACACAATACATGTCTTATGTATCCTAAAATTGTCCTATATAGAGTTTGCGTTGAAATCATGCTAAAATATTAATGTGTTTGGCTGATTTGATAAGGGACCTTTAAATTAAAAATTATGACATTTTTCGTCAATCAATATTTATCCAAATATCTAAATGCTTACAAGTAAATTTATACAACCACCTAAATCTATTCTTCAAGAGGGATTTTGAGAATATCTTATAGATCTTCATTTAAAGCCAGAGAATAAGTTTAGTATTAGAAGTTCTCCGAAATTTGAAGGAGGATATTCTTCATTTTAGTAAACATAAATTTGGCAATATCTTTAGGAGAAAGAAACAAGTCATAATTAGGTTAAGAAGAATTAAAAAAGTCACTGAGGAACAGACAAATTAAAAAGACAATTGTTGTTAGCTTAAACTTTTATTGCGTTTTATTTCTAACCTAAAAATTGTGTTTTAGTTTCTAACTTTTCTTGTTTTCTTTTGTGTTTAAATTATTGATGATTTTTGTTTTTATATAAGGCATAATTTTATTATATTTAATTTCTCTTCGGCCATTACTCTATTATTTTTTAACTTTTTTTACATAAGATAATTTTTTTCTTATTTTTATTCTTTTATTAAATAATATATTTTCAGTAATAAATTGTTTTTCTTTTACTATTTTTTGGAAAGTTCAATATAAAGTCATTTATTTTAATTAGTACAATCCTTACCATATTTATCTTATTGTTTCAAGATTTTACTTGACGACATTGATATTTATAATGATAGATTATTTGATTTTTATTGGTTTTAGATAGTTTTTATGTTGTATTGTATAATTTAACCATGACATTATTATATTGATTTTAGTATTATACTTAAAGATACTTTTATTTTTAACTATTAAGTGTTATCTCCACTTAAAAATGCGTTGCTTTTATTTTATTTTAAATTTTAAACTTAATTTTGAAGAGAAATATTATAAGATATGGTTATAACATAGCTGACTCTATTCAATAAAATATGACAACATAAAAAGCAGCAGGGTCTTCAAAGTGCATTTGATCATGAAGCCTCAAATATCACGTTTAATTCGTAAAGGATCACAATAAGATCAAACACAACGGATTTCTGTTAGCCCAAAAGACTTTGACATAAAACAACAGGCACAAGTAATAGAAGTGACTAGCATTTTAACCAATTTCCACCTCCGACAGTCTCTTGGGTCTGAAAATTCTTCAATAAGCATCACTATCTGGACTTATCCCACCAAATTTAAATGACCCAACTGAAGATCTTGAGTTGCAGATCCAAGCACAAAGTGTTCTTCTACCTAATGGTTATAACTTAAAGCTTTCGAATTCTGCTTTTGATTACCAAAGCATGTTATGTTTTTTCAACTAGTTACAGCATATGCGGAAGCTCCTTTTGCTGGTTCTAATAATAGATAGCAGAAAATTAGAAGTCATCACAAATTATGATAATAGGTTATGTACACAAAATAATGACTAGACAATTAAAATAGAATGAGGATAGTCAAAATAATTATTTGCATTCACAGATTAAACATGTATCTTAACCAAAAACGAAACTGAACTATTCAAAGAAATTTTGAGCTCGTCTATTTGCACTGTAGTGCCAGTTGAAGCACTTGGTGGATTTGATGAAGACATAGATATAACTTAGGTTGTGGGTGTGTAGATGATTAGGGTTTTTAGTTTAAGCACTTAATCTCTTGATAGGCCATTATATTTTGTGATAAGCACCTTAAAATATTGCATATCATTGAAAATCATTTTTCTGCATGAAAAACTTACGTTTAAAAATTAAAAGAATTTTTTTTTTCAATCTGTTGAAAAAGATTTTCAATCTGTTAAAATCACTTAACATAATAAATGGTCATACATAATCAAAAATTAAATTGATTGATTCACAGAATCAACAAGTTAAAATAACTCAATGAATTTTCAATATCAAGGTTCGCATTTTCAATCTGTTGAAATGATTTTAAATCTGTTGAAACAGAAAGACCTTTTTCAGTCTAAGAGTTTTTAGAAAATCAATCTGTTGAAATATTTTTCAATCTGTTGAAACGAGAGAGACTATTTTTTTAACTAAGTGTTTGCAGGAATTTAATCTGTTGAAATGATTTTCAATCGATTGAAAGCAGAGTCGTCATTTTTCATTAAGTTGTTTTAATCCATTAAAACTCGAATCAATCGATTAAATGGAACTTTAAATGAAATCAATCGATTGAATCGATGTCTTAATCGATTAAATGGAACTTTAAATGAAATCAATCGATTGAATCGATATTTTAATCGATTGAAATAATATTCTGATCGATCATAGTTTTGTTCTAATCGATCATAACTCATTCTGATCGATCATAGTTTTATTCGATCGATCATAACTCGATCTAATCGATCATACTTCGTTTTAATCGATCAGGGTCTCTTCTAAACCTGTTTCTACTGCTAACCAACTTATCTTTTGACTCTCTAAAATAGTTTTAACGGATGAAACGTTCGTTTTTTCGATTTACTCTATATATACTGATTTGATCTATCTTTTGAATATACAATACAACACACTTACTTGAGAAAACTTGTGAAATCAATCTGTGAAACTTTCATACGTGACTTTCTCCGCATTCAAGAATCTTTTTCATATCATAAAGTCTTTGTGATCAGAATTGTGGTCATTCAAAGAGAGAAAGTCTTGATAGAATTGGTTCTGGACAATTAGAAACTTCAAGTCCAGGTTTTTTCTTTTCATATTCTTTTGTAAAGTTTGATTGTGCGAGGTTGGATTGTAATATGCACTTGAGTACGATGACTTGGGTTTGGTTCTTGGGTGGTTTTCAAGATTCTGTCTTGTGGGTTTTGCAAGATAGTTCTTGGGGTAGATTGGTGAGTATCTACTTGGTTGTATTTTTCACTTGGTATTAGTGGAACTTGACTGGTTTGTCAAGAAGCTGGATGTAGCTCTGGATTAGAGTAAACCAGGTATAAATTTGTGTGTTAATATTCTTCTTTCATCTCTTTTATTTTCTGTCTTTAATTGTGTTGTGTTTAAGCCGAGTTACCTTTGCAAAGATTGAATAAAGATAACTCATTCTTCCAAAAGAAAGTAAGTTTTGCGAAAAAGTTTTAAAGTTCAATTCACCCCCTCTTGAACTCAACCATTAATTCTTTCAATTGGTATCGAGTTGGTTCTTGTAAGTTACTCAAGGAATCGGTCCAATGGTTGAGGGAAAGATGAATTTTTAGAAGGAGCCTCCATAAACAGGCCTCCACTTTTTACGGTGTGAATTATTCTTTCTAGAAGGTTAGAATGAAAATCTTTATTGAATCTCTTGATAGAGGCATTTGGGAAACAATTGTTAATGGTCCTTATAAACCAACTCATATTGTAGATGGTAAAGTAGTCGAAAAAGATTGGGCTGAATTAAGCGATGTAGAAAATAGGAAAGTCCAATATGATTATACTTGCAAAAAATATTATTACCTCTGCTTTAAATCTTGATGAGTTTTTCGGGGTGTCTCGGTGTGGTTACGCCAAAGAGATGTGGGAAATTTTAGAAGTCACACATGAAGGAACATCCGATGTGAAAAGGGCAAGAAAGCATGAGTTAATCGGGGACTATGAGTTGTTTAAAATGCGACAAGGAGAAACAATTGCGGATGTGCAGAAAAGGTTCACGCACATAGTCAATCATCTAATTGGGTTAGGAAAGACTTTTGACAAAGAAGAGTTGAACATCAAAATTTTAAAGTGTTTGGACGAGAACATGGCAACCAAAGGTGACGGCAATATCGGAATCAAGAGACTTGATCTGAAATGACTACAGCTTCACTTTTTGGTAAGTTGAGGGAACATGAGTTGGAAATCAATCGGTTCAAAGAACAAGAGAATGCGAGAAAAGAAAACTAGAAATATTGTTCTCAAGACAATTGAAGAAAACAGTGGATCTGAAGAAGATGAATCAGAGAACCGACTTTATTGGTTAAGAAATTTGGAAAATTTCTTAGAAGAAAGAAACGAGATTGGCCAAGTAAAAAGGTACAATGATAAAAAGACTGAATCTGTTCAAAATAATATTACTTGTTATTCTTGTGGTAAACGGGGTCACATAAAGAGTGATTGTCCGGAAAAGACTAAGAATCGAAACAAGAAAGAATCAAGATACAAAGGGAAAAAGACTTATATAGCCTGGCAAGACAATGATTCATCTTCCGACTCTGAATCCGAAAGTGAGGAGGTGAACACGTGCTTGATGGTCAGTCGTGAATCCTCTTCATCACATGTAAGTTCAACTCCTACGAGAGAATGAAATGAATTACAGCACATTACTAAATGCTTTCAATGAAATGCATAGTGAAGCCAGAAATTTATCTCATACAAATAATCGGTTAAAAGGATTAAATAAGCTGGTTAGAAAATAGAGTTAAAGTTCGGAAAATGAACT